TGAGGGTAGATGTGTTCGTTGGACTTGGTGTGGCCAATGAAATGTGAGCTAAAGTGATGAATTACTCCTCTTCCCCTTCCTCCAACCTCTGGAAGAGATTGAATTGCCAGTATGAGGCTCTGTGTAGCTCACTCAGCTACCAGAAGATCAAAACAGCCTGAGGTATTGACAGCACATGGAGGTCAGCTGCCCTGAACAGTTACCCAGACCTGTAGAGGATTTTACATGAGTAAACTTTAGTTTTCTGTTTAAGCCACTGAGAATTTGGAGTTGTTTGTTGCCACAGCATAACTGAGCCCATCATGATTTAACTGTGATACACCCCCATGTGTCTTTACCGCTTGTAAAGAAATATGGAATTTCTTCAAGGCAAGATGTTCACACATGAGTTTTAAGAGTAATGTTTTTGGTATCAAAAATGTTATACAGAATTTATGTAATAAGTAATCTAGAAAAATCTTTATAAACAAAGGAATGTTTTGATGATTATAGAAATTGTATTGATGGTATACTTCTGCCTTTTGAAATTAATGATACAGGTAATCACATTTTGAAGAAATTATTATAATGAGGGCTCTAGGGTTCTTAAAAAGATCTGTGTAACTTGTTATTGGTAAGAAGTTGAACCAGAATTTATACCCACTTGTGTTTTCTCCCCATTATCTTCCACTGCTTTGTAAAGCTATTCTGTAATATTGGATTCATTCAGACTGCCGAAATTTACTGAGTGCCTTCCCTGTGTGTGGAAGTCTCAGTTCCTTTTTTGGTAAAATGGCAGAAACAATATCTAACTTTCAAGATTGAATCCTCAGAAAATGATGTATCTAAAACATCTGAACTGCTATTCAGTGTATGTTGGGAGACAGTGCAGGGTGACAAACTAATCATTGGTTTGGAGTTTGAGTCTGTGCTGGACCATTTGCTAACTGTATTCTATAGACAAGGCACTTAAATACTCTGAGCTTCAGGTTCTTCCTTTGTAAATACGGGCAAAAATATATTGGTTTCATTGATATTTAAAGGAGAGGCCTCTCATGTTCCCATGAGAGTGCCCAGAAGACAGTAGACACTCAGTGCACAGTAATTATTATGATGTGATAGTTCTAAGCTAAAGAAAAAGTATACAAAGATGGATAAATGATTATTGAAATCAAAGAAGACATAGTTCAATGTGAAAGGCAGACATGTAGGTTTGTGATAGTATAATAAACAGCGCAATGGGAGTGTGCGTGGTGCAGACTAAGGAGGACTCAGGAGGAAGAGAGGAATTCTCATATTAGCATTTAATATATTTTTTTGATGAATGATTGCAACAGCAGCAGATTCTGTCAGTTATTCCCTTTATTTCTTGTGAGATTGAAAATGTTTGGAGAAAATGTCTAGCTTGTCCCCAGGTGGCCCACTTAGGCATTGACTAAGCTAGCGAGTGATTCTGTTGCCTTTTTGGGAATGGAGTAAAAATGATCAAGTCTCACAAATTGAGTAGTGTTTTGTGGAACTTCCACAAGAAAGAGACTAAAGGAAGTTCTAAGTCATCATCTTATGTTTTGCCAAAAATGAAATAGAACAAAGAACCTGAAAAGCAATGAAATCTTTATCTCTGGTGACTAACCCAAAGTAGCATTTAAGTACAATTAAATGGAGGTTTTCCATATAAAACAGATGACTTGAAAAAAATAATTATTTAAAAGAGTTTAAGATCAAAGTCTTGTTTAAAAAAAGAATTTGTTTTTATTTTCTCCTTTTTTTGTGAAGCATAACATATCTAACTCTGGTAGAAAACAGAGTAAAACAAAAATATTTAGAATAATATTTAAGTCAGTGCCAGGCCAATGTATCTGATATGATTCCAATATTTTCAATACTAGCTTATATAATTATGTCTTTTCTCTTCATCCATCATTTTATCTGTATTTTCTACTGATAACAGTGAGAACTAGCCAGCTAAAACATTTGACTTACTTGACAAATCTTTGACAGTTCATGCATCTCCAAATTTTAGAACTTTATTACTACCGGCGTTATGTATTTAAATGAATGCAGCCTGTATCAAGAAAAGAAAATGACCATATTGAAGGGAAAAAAAGAGTAAACTGCAGCCTTCTTCATGAGTAACACTTAAAACTGTTAAACGCATTAAAATCTCATTTAACAAATAGCAAAACCTAATGAACATTGGGACTGCTCAGTGAATACTAATGTGGAATATTGCTGGGAAAGATGTTAGAGCATTGAAATTTCTCATAGCTCAAAATGGTTACATAGATTAAGGAGAGGAACATCTGTTTCAAAAGACAAATGAAAGTTGACAGTTCACTGAAAATATTTTTGTTTTTGTTTTGGTACATTTTAAATTGTTTCTTAGAGTAATTTATTACTCATTTTTCTATTTTAAAGCATTGCAATATTCTTTATATTTTGCTTATGAATTTTATATTGAAAATCCTGGGACTCTATCTATATACAATTGACCAGGCTGCTGCTGTGTAAATTGTACTAGTCTTTTGTATGGTAATCAACGAGCATAGTCATCATAAAATCATCTAATTCTTAAAGTGATCAGAAATATGTTTGTCATATGATAGTCCATTAACTGCAGACAATTAGATGTCACATTAAATTCAGATGAGTTCTGGCCTTTGGCTTCAAGTCAAACGCTAACAGTTTTCAATTTATTTTCTTTGTTAGATCTCACAAGTAATTCTTCTTCTACTTACCTGATTTTATTCATCTGAAATGTGGATACTAAGCTTTAGTGTATCATTTGTTATGGAGTATGTTACTCATTGTAGTATAACTACATTCCATTCATCTATCCATTTGTTTATTCATTTATGTATATATTTAGTCTTGTATCCATCTATCCACTATCCATCTGTCCTTCTATCCATCCATAGATCCATCCATCCAACGAAAATGATTGAGCATGTATTGAGGTGATCAGGCTAGGTATATAGATGACACAATAGAATCTCTGTTCTTAAGGAGTAGCTCATAAGCTCATGTCAACATAAGCAAGGACTCTATTTTTAGTAACTCTTCCAAACCTTATGTAGTGTTAAGAATTGCCACATCTAGAAATTCCACTCCTAGTCTTATACCCCAAAGAAATTAAAAACAGGTACTCAAAAATACTTGTACACAAATGTGAAGGCAGTACTATTTACAACAGCCAAAAAGTGGAAATAGTCAAATATCCATCAACAGATGAATGGATAAAGAAAATGTGGTATATTCATACAGTAGAATACCCATAAAAATAAATGAAATACTGGTATGTGCTACAACATGGATGAACCTTTAAAACATTCTGCTAATAGAGAGAAGCCAGACACAAAAGGTCATGTATTATATTCAACCATTAGTGTGAAATATCCAGACTAGGTAAATTCATGGGGACAGAAAGCAGATTTGCCATTGCCAGAGGTTGGGAGAATATCACTCTATCAAGAGTGACTGCTTGATAGGCACAGGGTTTTATTGTCAGTGAGGAGGACTAATGAAAATGTTTGGAACTAGAGATGGTGGTCACATAACACTGTGAATGTACTAAATGACACTTTCAAGTGGCTATTTTTATGTTATGTGAATTTTACCTCAATTTTAAAAATTGCAAGTGACACTGAATATATAAGTTTATTTGGTGGAAAAAAAACGACCACCTGAATTAAAAAAACAAACAAACAAACAAACAATCTAACCTGAACACTGAAAAACAGTGTTTTTTTAATTCTTCCCAGTTTAGGACGTTCTGCCAGGTTGTGTAAACTGTGCCCCTGATGAAGAAAGCATTCAAGAAACAGCATCAGATGAGTCAACCTGTAGCTAAAGACAATTCACTTGTCTTTAGAGAACACCAGCTAGCACTCAGCCAGATGCCTGTTTTCTAAGATTTCAAGTTGATTTTCCTTTTCTACTTCTTCTTGATTATGTGTAAAATCATACGTTTTCCAAGGTACTATCAAGTGTCTAGGATTAGTAAATTCAAGGTAAAAACAATATTTTAGAAACTTGCTGCTGAAAAGCTTACAACTTGGTTAAAGTTTGTCACTTTTGAAGATACATTAAATAAGCCCATTGACTTTGTCCTCTGGCTCAATTATAACATATATTATCAAATTGGCAAGCTCTTTGGTGATTGTGAATTGCCTGTCAATAAAAATCTACCACCACTAAACTAAACAAAACTAAAAATGCACGATCTAGCAAAAGTTAGTTGCATATGTTTTGGGCTAAAAAATGTCATATTATATGTTACAGAGATCTATCAATTATTTTAAAAATCTGTAATTATCATTATGAATCAATTGCAGTCATTTATTTTTGTGCTTTTAGAGTTCATTTAAAGTTTATTTTAAAAAATTAAAATGAGAAAAATCTAGTTTGGGGGATGCAAGCAGTATTTTTTGTTTGTTGTAGTATTTCTCATAGTCATTTTTATTCGATTTCAACAGTCAATGTGAGTATGTTAATAAAATGCCTAGCTTTTTATTATTTCTTGATATAGCATATCAAGAAATTTATCTTCATTATTCCATTTAATCCTGTAATCAAACTCATGATATTTGTACTCTTAAATTATCTCTGTTACATAGATGACAGTATTGAGGCCTAGAGATATTTCTAGATAATTTCTCCTAGGCTGTAAGACTGGTAAATGTTGGAGACAGGATAGCAATCTTGGTCTGACTCCTGAGTTTGTGTTCTTAACAATGAAGATTTTAAATTTTCATTTATTAAAACATGGGGGAAAGTCAATAAGATGCCAGTAACATTTATTTAAATTATGAATATTTATTGTTTGCATCATTTTTGGAAAGAAATACACACACAAAATATACATATATACCGCTATGTAACAACATTTTTCAATTTGACAAGACCTGCTTTTTCCAGAAATAATGAATGATGCCAAATCCCTCTGTTGAAATCACCAGATTGACAGAAATACCAATAAAATGAAGCCCATAAATACAGAAAACAAAGAATTTAATTTAGTCCCAAAACAATATAAGAAAATAGTCCTAACTAAATCAACTAAGCATTTGAGAAAGTTTTACTTTTACCTACCAACAAGCAGATTTATTGCTGAGAAAAAGCAACCAAATTAACTTCCATCTTTCCTTCCATTCTTTATTTTTTTTTTTACTGCCATATTTTCTTTAAATTTCAAAGCTTGGACTGAATGTTAATATGGTGTCCTTCCTTTTTTCTAGTGTAAATGTTAAAAATGAGTCAGTCAGATGAATGTTTTCTGATTTAAAAATTCCTTCAACCATATTTTAAACTCTTTATCTCAGGGAAAAAAAAAGGAGAAATCAAGAAACATAGCCAAAAAACAAGAAATGAGTAAGAACGTTCTCATATCTTTTGAGCATTTGAGGGTGGAACTGGTTGTGAGCATTTTTACCTGGGCTGACTTTATGTAATATGATGAATGGCCAGAGCTTCAAGTTATGGAGATTCATTTGCCTTTTTTCTCAACATAGATAATTTGCTTATATTTAAATCATCGTTTCTATACTCTTCCCCAGGAGATGTAACACCTAAGAGCTTGTTTACTCATTCACCATCTCTTTTCCCTCTTGCTCCAGGTTGGGCTCTGTTGGCCTTGAATCCGCTGTCCCCCATCCTACTGACGGAAGCACCGCAGCGGCTGTGGAAGTCTGCCAGTGTCCACCAGGGTACACTGGCTCCTCCTGTGAAGTAAGTGCGCAGGAGTAGAGCCTCAGTGCACTCTGAGTTCCTTCAACATGACTTTCAATAAACTAGTCTAAAATAAGCGTAGGTTTTCATCAATAACTGCACAAATGGTAGTGTATTACTTAAAGAAGAAACTCTAACGTCTGCCAAGTCATGGCTTTCAAAAAGCGTTGCTCGTATAATGTCATCTTGAAATTGTGTTTCTTTTGGAGATATTTTGCCTTATGACATATAGCTAAGAATCTGATGTTTCTATAAATATTCATTTTCTATTTAATCTGTTGATAAAATAGGATGAATGATAGCAGAATGATATTTCAAAATATTTTTCCTTCATTTCCACCTTTGTATTTACCAGCAATTTAGCACTACATCTTTTCTTTTCTTTTCTTTCCAACTTTTCCTCCAGTTTTTCAGTCCTGTGTGTCACACTCTTTCTCTACTTTATCTCTAAGGATACAACCAAATCACAATCATCTGAAGGACTCAATCTTTAAGATGTCAAGAACATGATATATGGAAGAAATGCCTTAATCTGGAAAATTCCCTGTGGGTCTTTAATTTGTTTAGCACCTAAAGTTTGAGATATTTATTGTTGTCTCAGTAGTCTAGACTTATAATGAGATTAATGTTTCTTACTTAATACCACAGTGTGTCATAGTAAGGTAATAACTTTTTTTTTTACTTTTATGTATTTTCTTTAGGTGGTTTGAAAATTGATTTTACTTGAAATCTGGTCAAAAAATGTAAACACTATTTTCCTGATAGAGGGCATGGCTTGCAAATAAAGTAGGAGCTTAAATTCTTTATGAATGGTGCCTTTAAGGGATCATCTGAGTGTGCCAAGATGTTCCACTTCAGCACACTGCCCCATTATGCCATTTACAGAAATACTCTAGGCATTGCTTTGTCAGTTCTCTTGTACTTTAAAATAATGCATGCTTCCAGGGCTTAGAGTCATATTCGTGACAAATGTGTTTTATTTAACTGGGCTTTAGACTTACCTATCTAGAAATAAAAATAAATGTATTTCATTGAAGTACTCGCTTTTCCAAAAAATCATATCGAGAAGAGAAAAATAACTAAAGAAATGAATTAGCTCTGTCAACCCAAATTTGATTTTACATCTAAAATACATGCTGTGTTTTATGAAACATATTCTTTTATTAAGAGCCTAGCAGTTTTTATTTCAAACCAGGAAGCTCTCTTTGAACCTTTAAGTTCTTATTTCAATTAGAATAATAAGTACCTTGATCCTATTCTTGCTTTAACACTTATTCCTACTTTGCTTATTCTCAGTACTCTGCATCATCTTTTATACAAATTTCAAATGCCCATTGAATGTAAAATTGTCTGAATATTAGAATTATTCAATTGGCTATGCATTTTGTTTCTTCTCTTTCTTCAAAACTATTTACTAAGACTCTTTGGTAAATTCTGCACTAGATGCCATGGGGATCATCAAGAAGATTACATCATAATCCCTGTCTTAAAAAGCTAACAATCTGTTTAGGGAGACAGAATAAATACCTATGAAAAATTGAATCATAGCACTATATGATTAAGGCACCAGTAAGTGGTACAGACCGTAAGTGCAATAATCATTCAAAGAGGTGAGTGATTAGAGTGGAGAGAGATGTCACAGAAAGTCTCCTAGAGTGGAAAAATCTCACCTTGGATGCTAAATAATGGTGACAATTAGGTAGGAAGAGAGAAACAAGAGAGTGTGGAAGAGTCAGAACAAAGAAGCAGAGGAGAGATGAGGAAAGCTGCCTGTGCCTCTCACACGATAATTGTTTGATAAATACAGTTACTTCAGAATCCATAAAAGAATTTAGCTGAATCAGGAGACAATGACTTCTGGAACCCTGGAGTTTCTCTCTGGCCTCTCCTCTTCATTTCTTCTACTCTCTAGTAATTCCTTCTTTTCTTTATCAAAATTTCCTATCCCCAGACTCACTATTATCTATTCCTATCCTTTCTTAATTTCATTTGCTTTTTCATTGCGTTCATAAGGCCAGGCATCCTAGTTTTGTTGTACTAATGCCCCTGGACCCTTTAAAAACTGAGTAAACTCCAAAAGACCATTAATGTCTTAATTCTAGCCTGCTAAAAAAAAGGTCAGGACTCAATTATAAAATCATTCTCTTTTGTTTTGTTTGGGGCTATGATATTGATTCAGAACCCTTTTTCTCATTTCTACTTTTTATAAATCCCTCCACAGTTCATCTTTCAAATATTGTCTTGTTTTTCTAGTGTCATCATAATTTATTTCGCTTGACAAGTGAGACAGGTGAGGGAGTGAAAGCAAAGTTGGGTACTGAAAAAAAGTGTTTTAAGTCGAATATCAGTTTCCTCTTCTCTATGATGAAAATATTAACCACTTCATGGAAGTGTTCATACTTTCATTTTAGCTAACAGATACTGGTGGCCATACATTTTGAGACAATCAAGACACCTGACCTGGAGGATAATGTGATGAACAATACAGATATGGTCCCTGCCCTCAAGTGGGCTGGACAATATACCAGAAAGAAAATTTAGATAAATATGAAGAAAATAAACAGGGTGCTTTGAGAGAGGTACTGAGAATGAGTATATGAAGATGAGATGAGAGGGACTACATTACGAAAGGTGGTCAGGAAGGCTTTCTGAGGTAGTAGCATCTAAACTGAGTCTCACGTCAGCTCGGTATAAGGAGCTGAGGAGGAAGTGAAAGGGAGTTGGAGTCTGCAAGGACCTGAGAGAAGGTAGGTATGGCTAGAGCTCAGTAGGCAAGGGGGAGAGTGGCACTAGCTGTGACTGGAGGAGTCAGGCCTTTTCAAACTTTGCATGCACGATAAGAACTTGAGGTTTTATTCTAGGTGCAATAGTAAATCATTAGAAAGCTTTAAACTGAGTGGTGCCACGATCTGAGTTACATTTTAAAAAAAAACAACTCATTATATAACTACAGTATGAAGAATGTATTATGCGTGGCAAGGATAGTAGGAAGGAAAATGGTTAATATACTACTGTGGTAGAATGTAATGATGACAATGGTTTGTTAGGATAATGGCAGAAGATGTAGAAAGACATATGTTTCTTCTAAGTATATTTTGGTAGTGGAACCAATAGGTCTTACTGATGGACATGCCATGGGAGAGTTGAAAGAAATAAAGATTTTAAGAATGAATCAGATGATGAGCTTGAGCAATTGGATGTGGTGCCATTTACTGAGCTGAAGAAAATTGGGAGAGGAAAAGCTGTGGTGGGGAAGATGGAATCAGCAGTCTAGTTTAGAAATACTAGATTTGGAAAACCTATGACGTGTTTGTCAACGTTCACTTGAGAACGTGCAGTCTTGAACTCAGAATATCTGTCTAGTCTAGAGATATGTATTTGGAAGGAATCATCAAGTAGGGGACTGAATAAAATGACCTAGGAGAAAGTGTGGAGGAAGAAAAAGGAAAGTAACTAAGCCCCTAGGAGTTCCTGACAGTGAGAAGTGGGTCGAAGCAGAGGAGACAGCAAAAAGATGGGGTGGAAATTGGGAGACTGTCATATCATGGAAGTTTTGAGGGGAGGGCTTTTGAGGGAGATCGGAATCAACTAAACCATATCTTGATGAGAGATCAGATAAAATGTCAATTGTAGAATTATCCATTGGGCTTGGCTACATGAAATTGCTGACATGGACAAGAACAGTTTTAATCAAGTGCTGGTGGCACAAGACAGATTCGAATGGAAGGAAGCGTGAAGGGGGTATGAGGAAGAATAGACATTTTAGAGCAGTCTTACTGAAAGGAAAAACAGATAGGTAAATGGAAGTTATGTGATATTAAGGAAGTAATTTTGTCTTTTTTTCTGGTAGCTAATTTTTAATAGAGATACTCAATCGTATTTTTGAGCTGATAGTAATGAACCAATAGAAAAGAAAGCTGTTACTGATGCAGCACAGAGAGGGAATACTGGGAAGACAATAGATACTGGAGCGCAGATTATAAGTGGAGTGATATTCCGTTGAGAGGATGAGAAATTCTGCACATCACCCCCATTGTTCCAGAGGGGAATATGCCAAATGGAGATACATACTTACGCTTGTGGACTTCATACGTATATATATGGAGAGAGAGAGCGCACTTACTAATGACAATTCCATGAGTATTTGTCCTGTAAGCAGTAATCAGTTATTTCCCTGTTATCAACCCCTTTAATTTCTACCCACTTTTGGATATGTAGCTTCACCAATTTTTAGAAATACAGATTACATTACAAAAGCTCTTCTGTAATGAATCTAGAATGGCAAAAATTTTTAATGAGGATAAATTATTATGAAGGGTTAGGAAATTGACACCTTTTTTTGTACTGCCCAAATTAAGAGGAAAGTTGCTTTTGTTTTCCTTTCAGATATGAAGTATCAGCTCATTCTTTTTTTATGTGTTTGCTATAGATGTTCAAATTTAAGAGTCCTCATATCCTGAGGCAGAAGGAACATTTCCAGCAATACACAACACAGTTTTATATACTTTATTACTTCAGTGGCTTCTCTCTTGTTTCCATTTTCAACTGAAAAAAAAAGGCCTTTTCATGATATATTCTGTTGTGATAACCCTCCAGAAATATAGTAAATAAACCACAAAATGCAATTTTAACTTGAGGGAGATTAGAATCTCCTAAAGGGCAGTGATGTTTGTCCCCCTCACCCTCCTTATTTTGCATCTCATCCAGTTTGTGGGGACCCCCAGAAAAGAGACACTTAAATATGATGATGGACTGAAGGCCAGCACTGATACATACATACTCTAAGACTCAAATATCCTTTTTCTAATATTAATTTTATTCTTATACGATAAAGTGTGTCAGACTTAAAAAGCAGAGTCCTAGTAGAATAATGCCATAAAATAAAATATCAAGAGAATGTATGGTAAATAAATCATAAACTACTTTATGTAACTTGAGAAAGCATAATAGGATGGAGGAAGTTGAGAATGAGAGGTATAAATTATTTATGTGTAGAAGACAGCCTTGTGTGTGATCAAATGTGAGAGCGGGGTGCTACCTTCCAAATGATTGCAAAGATTTTCTGAAAGTGACAGAGTTAAGGACAGTTTGTATGTGGGAAAGGGAGTACGTTCCAGAGGATCCACGGTCCTTGGGACGACATTAGGTGCTCTCTTAGGCTAAGGTTCTGAAGAATCCATTTATGTCAACTGCTTTTTTTCAGTAACTTTTCCTTCCATTTTCTTGTCTGTACTTTTTACTTTGAGACTGTCACGTTTCAACTCTTTATATCTCTGCTTTATTTTACTATTTCAGAAGAGACATCAAGCTAATGCTTCCTCTAATCTCATACCTGCCAATAACACTAAGGTCAGTACAAAACCCACGTGTTAGGGAGAATAGCTCTGTAGCAATGTTTCAACAATGGCAGTGCTTTGACAAGCACATTTGCTGGGTTTGCTACCTAAATATTTTCCTTTATCTAAAAAGGACAAAAAAAATTTTTTTTAAATATCCCTGAGACTAACTTGAAACCTTATGTTCCTTTCAGTCTTGTTGGCCTAGGCACAGACGCGTTAACGGTACCATTTTTGGTGGCATCTGTGAACCCTGTCAATGCTTTGGTCACGCGGAATCTTGTGATGATATCACGGGAGAATGCCTGGTAAGTGCTTTCTTCTTTGGGGATACTGATTGGCAGGGCTGAAATCAGCTCAGTAGGCCCTGCAATTCAATTACTACCTTTAGGACCTAAAACACTTCAGTCAAGAAGTGATTTGATGAAGAATAGCTTTACACTGAACTGAGTTGGAAGCTGAGAATGTCCTTTCGTATGTGGTCTCCGTGACTAACAAGTATTAGAAAGCGTTTATTCATATTAGTCTGAGAATTGAATTAGAATCAGATACATTATAATGAAACATAACTAATGACTGGGATACATACCTACCATGAGTATATATGGTTTCCATCCCTTCCAAAAATCTACCTAAGAAGACTGTACCTACTGTATCAGGAAATGATGTGTATCCTCATAATACGAAAAGTATAAAATACAACCTCTGTAATAGGCATAATTCAGGTTTTTTTCACTTTGAAAATGAGGGCGCACTGTATGTTTTTGGTTTTAAAATTTTAGCATTTAACTAAATAATCATATGTAGATTAAAAATTAATAAATAAATGTGGTACATATTCACCAGAGCTGCTTACTCCTACAATTAAGTCTCTACTTGAACCAGAAAAAAAAGCTTTGCAAAGGGCAAAGCGCTTTCCATCCTGCTAGAAAGCCTTTGGATTGGAGAATTACGCTGAATAGACCATTCTGATTAACTCAAGGGCATGTTAGTTTTATATTGCCTGACATGGCATGAAGCTTGAAACAACACTTCTCATTTCATTAGTCTTGCAGAAACACAATTTGGAATGGTGCCAATTTAGGAGGATATCATACTCTCATTTCCCTGTAGAATTTAAGGCAGGCTCTGTTATCTGTATTTCTTAATGTTCTCTCTTTCCTTTGCTCATTCTTTCCCCCCACCTTTTTCTTCTACTTAAAAGCTTCTGGGAAAAATCCAAAATGAAAATTCAAGGCTTTTGCTTCAGTGTGATTTGGCATTTAGGTTTATTGATGTTCTTTCTGTTTTCTCTGTGGAAGATTTTGTTTAATTGCATCGCAGTATAAAGCACGATAGTCTTAACTTGTGAATCAGTTGATTTTTCAAATGGCGTTGTTATGAGTAGAAAGACTAAGTGATTTTTGTTTTAATTATACAATAAGTCTTTTAAAATGTACCTTGGGAAAAATATAGTTACCTTTAAAACACTTCACTAACATGCAATAGGAAATACTCAGCCCGGAACAGATACAGATGTGCTTTACTTAAACCTAAAAAGACCAAAATAAATATATCACAATACCAGGCTTATGCTTCTGATAGTAACATTGTATGTTGAATTCATTAAGTCTAAAATCATGCTATTGGTTCATTTGGTTATGTGATATTTCTAAGAATGAAAGCCTGTTGTTTTAGAATAAAATAGTTTCATTCAGCATAATTTGGAAAGGAAGTAGAGAGGGGATCTGTGTTTATCTGAGGCTTTCTACTAATGAAATCTAGTTTATTGACTTTATTTCATGGACAAGGAGATAGGAGGCCACTTCAAATAACACAATGAATCTTACAGAAACTATTTAAATGTTGCACACCAAAGGCATTCATACTGTTCAGCTGAACTGCATTTTAGCTTCTTTTTTATTATTTATATTTTTCCCCAAATTAAATGGAAAATTTATGAAATTTACAGATAAACTGCTTTTCAGTTTGGCTTTGAAATCTAATTAGAAATGAACTGAACTATTTTTTGATATTGGATTGAAATCCAGACCTCTGTTATAGTGTGGACCTACATAAGAAGATCATTTTAACTCAGGGTACATTTGAAGTGACCAAGGAAACATTCAAAGCCATAGGGGAAGATTGCATACTTGCTCCTTGTCACTGTTCTTGTGACGAGTGATGTGAACAGACATTTGAAAGCACTTTTGTAGCAGGACACCTGTAAAAATAAGCAGCCCATCAGAGTGAACCTTTCATCTTTTTCAGTTTGGGTTTCCATTGTATTGCTGTCTAATACTGTTTTATAGTTTCAGTTGCAGAAACACTTGAGTTTTAAGATTAATTTTATTATTTCCATTAAGTGAAATACGACAGTAGGAAATGTAAGGAACTTCTACATGTTATTTTTTTCTTAAATCAGTAAAGAAAAGCGAGGTCTCTGGGTTGTACAAGATTTTCAGCTGAGTTTTAGAAAACTATTTTCAACATGGCTAAAACATAATTGGTTTTATGATCTTATTTTTTAAAATCCCTGTCTTTGAAGATATAGTTTTGATTGTGTCAGTATGATAATGTGTAAAGAATAGTGCAAAAAACGAACTAATATGAAGGTGAAATGGAAGAGGAAAGCCAGTCATCAAACTGATCTAATGTGTTGCACATCCCATCCCAATTACTGTTATTTAGACAAGTGTTGGTAGTGAATTTAACATCTTTGCTACTTTGATAGAAAATTGCTAAATAAATTTGAGAGAGAATTCTAAATACCTTGAAGAAAAATCTATTTTCAAGTATCAGCAGATACTAAAGAATTACCTATTCATTTGTAGTTGATGAAACTGTCATGGGATTTCAGAACTTGAAAACTTCATAAATTATGATCTTTAGTTCCTACATTTTACAGAATGTAAGCAAGTGGTCCAGATTTAAATTACTGGGTTTTAACTTAGTATCTTCTACTCAATAAAAAGTCTATCCCTTTCCCCAAGGAATTTAACAACCTATGTTCAAAAGTGTTTACTTAATGTGTGTTTGTTATTAAATCCATTTACTAAATATAATTAAAATTGAGCTTCTTAAAAAATATGCTGAAATAAATAATAATTCAGAACTTTTATTAATTCAAGCTGATTATCCCACTGTTCATCCAGATTAATAAAATTTTATTTTATGCTTAACATGAATTTATATTTAGCTGTTAGCTATTTCCTCCACATGTTTGGTTATTATTGATAAAATTAAAGATTTTGAACCCCAAACTGTGATAGACTCTTTTAAAATGAGAAAAAAAATAAATTTTATATGCTTGTAAAATTAGAAATGTATTTCAGTCACAATGAATCTATATTGTATTATATTTAATAGACAGTAGATACATTTCATTATATCATTGGAGTTTGAAGACGTTATGCCTACATGATACCAAAACATCATAAAAGTTTATCAAATGGTGTTATTGGAAGCTTTCTAGACAATTTCATTGTTGATTACCTAATTGTTCACATTTACCAATCTTGATGAATTTTGTAAAGACAATGTTAGTTGATGAATATACTTTAATTAGTATGAAGAAATGGAGATTATAAATTGTTTTATTTTGATTTTTTAATTTTTAAAAAGGACATGGTTCCAAAAATATGTAATTGGTAGAAAAATGCCATTTCAATTTTAAAAAGCAATGTCTGAAGTAAATTGTTATGTGCCTTGTGGTTTTATCATATACTAGTATACATTTTTAAATTTTTCACTATTCTCATTATTTAATTATGCATCAAGCAAGCCCCTCACAGATATAATGCATTAGCCCACATCATCAGAGACTTCTGAGGTAAGAGGGCCATAGTCTCAGAAGATCTGTGTGAGCCACAGTTCTCTAAGTCAGCAGTTTTAATCTGAACAATTGATTTTTACCTAAAATCAGGTAGTTTCCATGAAACAAATGTTATTAAGACTGTAGGACTGTATACATATACACGCACTCACAGTCATGTATATTTACTTAAGAAAAAAATTAAAAACCAGAGGAGGAAAGGATTGCATAAGATTTGCATAAGGAAAAAAATTATAATGAATTTCAGTCATCTTTTTGTAAGTACGCATATGCTGAAACTAGCATGTAGTTTATAAGCTAGATATTAAATTAACTTTCAGTGGTATTTCCCAGCTGTAAAATTGACCGTTTAATGTGGAAAATTATGCTTCCCGGTGGGAAACAGACTAATGACTCTGTAGACCTATTTTTGGTAACGTGTTGATGCTTGAAATCAAAATAATAAACTCTGATGTGCATTTCTTCCTCAGAACTGTAAGGATCACACAGGTGGACCTTACTGCAGTAAATGTCTTCCTGGTTTCTATGGTGATCCTACTAAGGGAACCTCTGACGACTGTCAGCCCTGTGCCTGTCCACTCAATATCCCATCCAATAAGTGAGTAACAAACTTCTCTCATGAGTTGGGAATCCAGTTCTGCAAGTGCATTTTTGATATAGAATTTACCCTTTCTCTTGTCACACATAAATAAATAATAAATATGTGCATGAATTTCTCGGGAAGATAATATGAGTTTTTCTAAATATAAAATATTTAAAGTTATAGCTGCTTACTCTACAGAATTTTTTATATTTCAGCTCTAGTTTGGGAGATTTAATATCTAAGACAGAACTCAAATAGAATTTCTAAACCAACTCCAAAGAACAGACATATATTGTATAAACATAGACGCGTATCCACATGCACACACACAAACACACATACACACACGTCTTCATACTGTAATAAAAACACTGCTAATATAAATGCTACTCATTTGGGTCCCAGTCACATTCTATGTATTTGTGACTCTGGGGCAAGTCATAAACCCCTCAAAAAAGTAAAATAAGAGGTTGATCTAGTTGACCTTTAAGTACCAATTCTATCCCTCAGTTATCGTATGGTTAATCATATTATCATATATGTTGTGTATATATATGTTTGTCATATTGAAACAGTTATAGTGGTTTTATATTATAAATTCTATAAATGTTGAAATATGGGTGTAATTAGCATCTTATTTTGCATAAACTACAGCTTGAAAAAGTTTAATGCAAACTTCACACAATTTTTCTATTCATTCAGATTTCTTTCTTTTTTTTTTAATTTTCTAATTGTTCACCTAAAACAACCTTTTGTAGCAGGCTTTTAAAAGTATATATTTTGTCTGCCCTTCCCTTTACATTTTAGGAGAACACTGTATTCTAGCTGCTCTAATTCACTTTTCCCTCAGGGCAGCCATTCCTTACACAAATACATAAGCAAGACCCTGAAATAAAAAACATTTTTATTTTAATGAGGCATATTATGTTGAACAATAATCAATACTTTGTTACTAGTAAAAGTTGTAAATCCAACAACACATAAAAAAGATT